GCATGACCTATGAGACTTGGGTATAGTAAAATTAACTCCCAGGCAGCAAATGCACCAAGACAAGGCATATGTTGTGAGAACAACAGTCCCTGCAGTTCTTTCTACATTATAAGTTAACATTATAATCAATAGTTCAGAAAAATAGGAAGGGGGGAAAAGGTAATTAAAAAAATGGAGTAGCCTTAATTATGCTGCTGATGTACACAGACATAATTGCTTAAATTGCCCATTTCATTTAAGGTTATTACACATTTTTTTGCAAAATTGAATAATTAGCAAGGAAGTCAACTGTCTTCTTCTGGTCCAGGCCAAATGAGACAGTTTACAAACACAAGCTTCATTTCCAGGGCATCAAAAATAACTTGGATCCACATGACAAAGCACCAGGCACACAAATGCTGATCTTATAACAGAGTGGATGTTCCATTTCATCAAATTCATACTGAAAAAGAAATTCTTAGCTTTAAGGAAGTGCAGGAAAAACATTTTAGCCAAGCTTGGGATGGGAGAGTACATGGAATTTAAAAAAAGAAAAAAAAGCTCAGTTCCCACACGTGAATGCTGCTATGAAGTTGTCATCAGAAAATCTGTGAGTACAAACTTCAAGCTGGAGAGCACACAAAGCACTTGACAAGCTGTGCACACAGTCCAAACAGCCAATGAAACTTCACTAATTCAGTACAGTGCTCAAAATCTAACTGCTTAGAAGCAAATATCTTTCAGTAATTGAACTAAAACCAGAGATTTATTCACCTCCGACTTTGATGTCCTGTGTATTTATAAAGAAATGCTTAGATTTGTGGTGTAAGTGGAAAACAGTGTCAGCCTATTGCAAAGTAAAAGGACAGAATGTTTCAGACAAGATGAGGAAGCCCCTAGCAAGAGCCAGTAAAACAACACCTCAAGAAAAGCAGAACGAGATCTGAAGTCATTCTGAGTCACATCACAGAGGTTCAAACAAACAGTGCTCTGCTAAATAGGAAATGAAGAGCTTATGTCAGTGCTTTTCATCAAGTGTGTGTTAGTCTTTAATAACTCAACTGGCTGGTGGCCATTGAATGTGGTACAGCTGCTGCTGCATGAGTTGAGACCTTCAGTTTGAAGTTTTCTGCCTGAAGACAAGTATGAGGAAGGCTGGCTGCATTAGTTGTTTAAAACCCTCCACACTGAATTAGATACCAGCACTCTACATCCCAGAAAATTCTCCCTGGTACCCTACCTCTTATCAGAAATGAGATTCCCAGTAGTGTATATTCATTAAGAAACCTGTCAGAGCATAAACATGTATTTCTACAAATAGAGAATTACACTGGAAAGACTAAACCTACCTAGTTCAAAATCTGGTTTTAATTTCAGCCCTGAACCGTTAGCTTTAATATTTAGCTGAATATTTAAAAGTCTGGATTCACATTTGGTCATTTTAACATTGCTCACCTTCTTTTTTATAGAGGTTTTCTGTTTCTTCTACCACAGCCCTATAACATTTTACACTGTATTCAAAAATTTAGGCTACATGAGATTACTCCAAGTAAATGTGTCACAAAATAATGCTGACATTGAATATATGATCTTTCATACTTCATTCACTGAAGCAAAGTAAACCAGCCCACTTTTTAAACCAGACAATCATTATATAGTCTTCTTCTATTATAAGACCTTTACTGATTTTTTTCTAAAATGAGATACCTTATAAACAAGACAATTACAGTTTATTTTTTTTCCTGGTCTACCAAATGAGTGAAAAATGTGTTTTGAGGGGGTTTGGTTTTGGTGCTTTTGTTTGAAATGTTACTTATATAATACTGAGGCAGAAAAGTGTTTTCCTGGTCTACCAAATGAGTGAAAAACGTGTTTTGAGGGGGTTTGGTTCTGGTGTTTTTGTTTTAAATGTTCCTTACATAATACTGAGGCAGAAAAGTACCACTTAACTGAGGCTACTGATTTGCTTCAGAATAATTTCTATTATGTATCCTATTTAACTGAAAAGCTTTTAACAAGACCATTTATCCCATGCTGACAATGGCTCTACCAGCTGCAGGCAGGTTGCATTTTTTGCTTAATGGCAGAAGAAAGCCAAATGCTCTGACTTGCACAGAATACATCCAGTGTAAAGTCTCGTCCCCATTAAGTTTAAATTATCCAAGAGCACTGCCCTTGTCAACAGCAATTTGGCACTGCTGCCATCAAACATACACTCAGCTACACTATTTCAAAAATCTTTCCAAGGCAGAGAAGCCAAAAATGATTGCTACCACTGTGGCTGCCAGGCTCCAGCCTGTTTAAAGACAAGGCAAGAATCACAGAAGAAACCTACAATCCTGTACACTGAAATTCTGTAATTTTAGGGTGGTTTACTTAGAGAATCATAGAATCCTTTAGGTTGGAAGGGACCTCCAAGATCATCAAGTCCAACCATTGAGCCATTAGGGCTCTCAAGTCCTCTGCTAAAACAGATCAGAATCTGTCAGGGTTGGAAGGGACCACAAGGATCCCCCAGTTCCAACCCCTCTGCCATGAGCAGGGACACCTCCCACTAGATCAGGCTGCCCAGAGCCGCATCCAGCCTGGCCTTAAAGACCCCCAGTACAAAGTTCAGGATGATCTCCCAGACATCTGACCAGAGAAGATCCAGCCTAACCCCCATTTCACTTTTCTGTAGGCCTGTACATGCAGGAGAGGAAGATTCTACACACTTCCCTCAAAGGGTGTGACATGGACAACAATTTTTGCAAGAAATTTTGGAAGAGTAGTATCAAACATAAGCTGCTACATCTCACAGAGATTTCCATTGGCAGCCAGTACAGACCTACACTAAAAAAGCCACAGAGCAACAGCAAATGTACTTGTGCTGAAGCATGTCTCCATCCTGTAGACATCAGCATCATATTTTATTTTTAAATATTATATTTTTAAATCATATATGGCTATGCTCTTACTATGCCAGCATACAGACCCCTGCATTCCAACAGCCTCCTCATTTCCTCTTCCATCTTTCCACCAAGCTCCCTAGCAGCTCACTCCTGAGCAGTACCTGATGCTACCAGATCTCCCAGATCCATCTAGGCAACTCCCATGCTTCTGAGTCACAGTTCTGACTGCAGGCCATCCTTAGGCCTTCTATCCTTTCACTTTCATCCCATTTGTTTCTGGCCAGAAACACAATCAGCCAAGAGTAGAATTGCTTCAGGTCTGTCCAGAGCTGTTCTGCTTCACACCACAGCAGCTTCTAGTGGGGTTCTGAGTCCTGTCTTATCCATCCTACTTACTGGAGCCTCTGCAACAAATTTTAAATGGGAATGTATTAATCATATCAATATTCTGTAGAACTGTGTAAGGCAGATGTTGCTTCCTGAGGAATACAGGAATACTTTGTATACCCTGATAGCTTTTGTGCACTAGTCAGATGCCTCAAGAAAATGTCATATTTCATCATGGTGCCACACAGGTAGGGAAACTGTGGCCCCAGGAAAGGCTCATGTAACATGTTTTACTCCCTTTATTACCACAGGACAATTCTGTGGTGTGTGGTCTGTCAGCAGATGTACTTCAAAGGCCTCTTCAGCAATTTTCCCCATTCATCCCTTATTTCTCATATGGATGACAGTTCTCTCAGAACTTAATTGTGGACTAGCTGTTGCTTAGCAGGCAGGTTGAGGCTATTTCTGTAGGTCTGCTCAACTCAGGAAAACTACTATGCCCCCTAAAATGGCCAACTGATACTCACTTAGGGCTTTCTCATGTAATATTAAAGTACTGCACTTGAGGAGCCTTTAGTAACAAACAACATGCACAAAAAGAGTTCTTAAGGCAACAGGATACATCTAAATTTATCAAAAGGACCAAAATAAACTTTGAACTCCTAGGAGAAAATCCTAACAGTATTTTGGTATCTAAACATTCCCATTAAAAGAAAAATTTATGTCAAGATGTCAATAGTGCTGGAGAAAAACTAACAACATTTATTGACATTCTTAACATAGTGCCACAACTGACAGCATCCAGCAAAGTCAAGTAGCTTGCCAGTATGTCCAAACCTGGTTTTAGCTAAGTAGAAAAAAATCAGGCATGTAACAGCTTGTGTATTTCTGCTCTGCTCCCCTGGAATCTTCTTTGTATTATGATTTTAAATTTGCCAACACTTAATAATAAATAAAAAGGTTAAATTTGGATTTTTTTTTAGGTTCAGATTCTCTTAGGGTGACAACTCAGGATTGAGAAATAGAAAAGAAAAATTAATATGTAAATATCTTCAAAGATGAGTTGTTAGGTCTAAACTACTGAATTAGTCCAATCTTTTAAAAACTGGAATATATACCAGGTGATAAAGCAGGAGGTCACTTTTGGGTGAAGTTAGCATTTAAAGAAGTCAGCAGAGAGCCACGGCTCTCACACAAAAGGGAGTTCTCACAAGATGACATGTCTAGACATCCCTTCTTGCAACTGCTAGAAAAAGATGTGTTTGCAATATCCAAATCACTGCACTAAACACTCAAAACTGCCTCAGAGTTGAGAACCCTGAACCTTTCAAAGTGATTCTTGTTTTTCATATTTCCTGTGCTAGACAGCAGAACTGAATTTTTACACTATGAAATTCGGGTTGTATGAGGCACTTAAATATGGATCATTTACATTAGTGAAATATATTAAAATCAGAACATTCTGGTTCACTTACAGCTGTTATTTGCACAAAATAACAATTTCTTCGAGTTCATTTGCTCACAGAAGTTGATGATGGGAGAAAAACTGTTTCTCCTTCATTTCCACTCCAATCATACTCACAATTGGTCATCTCAACACTTTTGAGACTTATGGTTGGCAGTCAAGGCTGTGCAGGCCAGTGACAACTACAAGCACATGAACCACATCCAAGAGCCAATTTCTGACACAAGGCTCTAAGATTTTAAGTATTAACAGTAAGTGACTGCTGTAAGTTAGAACGGCTAGAATCCTACAAAACACTCTCCCATCTTTGATAAGAATCAGAGGTACAACAAACCTTCAGAGACTAATTCTTTAATGTAGTTTCTTGTGGAGTCTGAGAGGTGACCCACCAGATTCTGTACGTCAAGAAAAAAGTTAGACCGTATTGAGCTATTTTATAGTCTTAATTTCAATCCCAGAGCACAATTCCATATCCTGATGTAAAATGTTTCTGTATTATAGAAATCTGATTCCTGCTCCAAACTGAACACCATCACATATCCTGAAAAGAAACAAATAATAAACAGTGTAAGTGATACATACAGTACTGATGAAATGAAAATCAATTCTATCTCCAAATTCCCAAGGTTTTCAATCCTTGGAAAGTTACAAGTCAAATTTTAGCTGACAAAGGCTTTTTAAAATTAATGCTTTGCCAAGATATGGAGTGTTTACACTTGCAAAATAAAGCCCATAATTTTAAAACTGCTATTATTTCTTCACATTCACATGAATGACAAATAGAAACAGATGCCAGCTCCTATACAGAATACAGTATTTCATGCAGTATTCACAGGCAAGAATAGGCCCCCTGAAGCTTTTATATTGTCTCCTCTAATACTTGCTTCATGTGGGATAACTGGTTGTTAACAAGTTAATTTGTTCTCCCTTTATCTATAGTTAAACTTGTTTTCATTTTTCAAGCAAATACATCAAACTCAATATTTATCCAAACACTTGTTTTCGGAAGGCTTAAGAAAATCCCATGAGCTGTCTCAGTGATCATTCACCCTAAAGAAATAAAACCTGCTACACAGCTATATTTCAACAGCTGAGCTCAAGCTGAATGAACTTTGAAACTTGAGAAACAAAAGCCTTAAACCAAGAAGTACTGTGAAACCAACATGAATAAAGTAAGCAGAAAGAATAGCATCAAGTGCTGAAAAAATCTCTCAATTGGCATAAAATAAAACTAAAAGGCAGCAATTCTCTCTGACAAAATGAGATAGATGTGCAGGAACTTGTAAAACCAGTTACTACTAAAGGAGTTGGTGTAAAAACCAAACCTGTCACCAGACTGTACTCCCATGGGGAAGCAGTAGTTCAGCTCTAGCCTGGCAATGTTGCCGAGCCGGAGCACTACGCCCGTGCCGTAGGACCATCGGATGCACTCTGCCAGCTTCTGCAGGTGAGCCCTGGGACCATCCCCTGCAAGCAAAAGAGCAGGAGAACAAGAACCAAAATAGATTGTCAAAGTGGTCACAGGCTAACTGGATTTTCAGAGCTAGAAAACAGACTACTTCAGAGCACCTCCTGCAGACTCAAAATGTATTTACGACCTGCAACTCCTATAAATGCCAAAAACCTTGGACTCAAAGTGCAATTTTTGTGGGACTACTGGTTGGTCTTCACTTCCCACCATCATACAGCTACTTGCATCAACCTGGAAACAAGTACCAAAGACTTCAATGTCTTTAGTCAGTCTCTTACAGTTGATAAACCTGCTTTTCAGTTGTGCATGAAGTGTCTCCCTCCCATATGGTTCATCCCAGTAAACACTTGGAAGGTGATGTTTTGGTGGGATGCTATCTCCTTTTGGAATGGTGCAAGATAGCAGGTGTTAATCAGTTACCACACTGGTCTGCAAACATCACTGATTCATTAGCTCTCCTTCCTACAAGTTGTGCTAGAATTTCTGCAGAAAGCTGAAAAAATTACCAGCAATCTGTCAAATATCCAATTTAATAGCAGCAGCTTTTGACAGGCTCTAAAATACATTGGCCTTTTTGACAGGCACCAAAATCTATGCAGTAAACAAACTGCTTCTGAATCAACAGACACAGAATAGCTCTCCTTTTTGCTTTTAGAGAGGGAAGCAGGTCTTTTCATAGACAATTCTCCTGGCCTTACCATAGTTAAGGTTGCAGAGGTTCCCAGCATTGAGGAAGAAGTGTGTTCGGAAGAGGTCCCCAAACCCCCCCCGGCCTGGCCGGAAAGGGAGGGGGGTGTAGAGGTGCAGGCCCCCAGCCCAGTAGGCTTCTCCTCCCAGGTAATCACCTGTTCAGGTAAAATGTTGGAAGAGAAGCATTCACTGTGGCATACATTCAAAGAAGCAGTTAAAGGTACAAGAAGACATCTTTAAGTTATTCCACGCTGCACTTCTGCTCTTTGCAAATCTTGCCATTTGCTTCTCACTCTCTCCAGCCTCACCACTGTCAAGTAAAACACCAGCACTTAGGCAATTCTTTAAACCTTCCCAGGGAAGTGCCCTGTCTGCCTCAGCCCCTCACCAGAACAGCCTGCACCTACTCGTGCCTCATCAGAGATTACCTCCTGAACACCTCTGAAATACTTGTCTTAGTTTTAAAAATGGATAATTGATATAATTAAACAATTTGATAACGAGAAGTCAACAACAGAGTAAGGAATAGAACCAAGGAAGCTCCTGGCTCTTCAAACACCCTTGTTGATCAGATTACCTGTCCCCTAAGCTACCCCAACACATGCTGTACCAAACAGATTTAATGTTACTGTTGCTATAAACACCTTCTGGGAACTTTTTCAGCTTGAAGGTTGCTTACTAATTAAAGTGATGTACTGGAATTATGCAAGTCTGAACACACACTTGGTTTACAAAATTAACTTATGGCTTAACTAAGAACTACTGGGCTCTGTTCTGTTATGAATGAAACTACAACAACAGATCAAAGACACAACATTTCTTGAAGTGCAGAATAAGCACAATTATTTTTATGTCATACAAAGTGTGAGGACAGAACTTGACTCTTCCTTACACACTAATATTTACAGCATGGTCAGAGAAGTGGTATTTAGGAGTTTCAGACCTTCACTCTGGGGTCCAATGCTGTACATACTGAATCCACGCACGCTTGTTGGTCCACCAAGGTAAAACCTAGTGAATACAGTCAAATTTAATTTAATGCTTCACTTGAAAGGACATATTTGAAAATATCTGGCCACACTTCTAAGGTTGCATCTCAGAATTACAGGTAATTTTGTAAGAGGTTTAAAGCAACACAAGAAATTAACTAAATCCTGATGCATCTGGCAAAAAATTCAAACCAAATAGAAGTATTAAAAATAAAAATCACACAAGGATCAAAGCAGAAGGATACTCAGCACTGAGGAATTATAATATTGCCTGATTCTGTCTTTTGTAATAATTTCAACAGAAATACTGTATCCCATGTGAAGTGGGCACAATATTTATTATAAATAAACTTAAGTCTAAATTGTTTCAGCTAGTGGTCTTCAAACACAGGTGTCAGAGGGCAAAACTGTCTAAAAGGCCATCACAGTTACAATATGGCTTTGCTTCTAAAAACACCTACAGTGTTACCTATGACCAACAGAAAATTTGGCAGCTGGTAAATACCATTTTGCACCCATAAATATTGGCAGGCAGAACCACTACAGAGCAAATTACAAATTTATACTACCCCAATATGAAAATCAAAACCAGAAGGCATGGACTGACGTGCAATTAAAGCTAACAAGAAACATTTTACTCTTGCCAGCACCAGAACTACTACTGCTTCTACTACACAGTTTTCTTTATACATTACCTGGGTTGACTGAAAAAAAAAATAAATGAAGAAACATTTAAAAAACTTGCCTGTCAGCTATACTGGATGGCTTGTCTCCAATAGGTACTAGCATTCCACCCCAAAGTGATGCTGAAAATACCTTTGGAGAGAAAAAGAAGTTTTCAGTAACCATCAGTAATGGGATTTTCAGGAAACTGGATCGTTGCTGCCCTCTTTCTTTTAGGCAGGGCTACACCTTAGGAAAGCTGACACAGCACAGTGGAACAAAGTGCTGCTTTCACAACTGCTGAGGGGAAACCCATCCAGCTCCTGTTTACTTATGAATATTCTTGTCTTGAAATAAGACAACACTGCTCACACAAATTACTCCTGGCAATTTTAAACCCATAGGAGGCTGAGTTGAGCAAATACCCACCAAAAATATACAAGCATTAGCTGCCTGTGAATTTGCCTTATAATTAAATGAAACTGCCTTCTGCAACTCTCTATAGTGGTATCAAATACACAAATGGCCTTGCTGCTTATCTATACAGCAATTTTTGGGAGCTAGATCACTGTAATTAATACATTTAATCATGAGATGCACACACATCAGGCAATGCCTTTTCTTTCACCACATGGAAGGTGCAAACATAATGATGTAGTAAGAAAGGGGTCTAGCAAATAGCCTTCAAATGCCTTTCTGCATTGGCCTCACTGGTCTTTTGTTTGGGTTTGATTTCACCACATGGAAGGTGCAAACATAACAATGTAATAAGAAAGGGGTCTAAAAATAGCCTTCCAATGCCCTTTTGCATTGGCTTCACTGGTCTTTTGTTTGGGTTTGGCTTGGGCTTTTTTAGCATGTTGTGATGCAAATTATTGTAACCTCTGATTTTTAAATCTTTGTAATAGAAATTGTTTAATTCCCCATCCAGCTATGAGGTAAGAACTTACTGCACCATCTCCATGTGATAAAGAACTTCTTTCTAAACACAGGCAAGTATTTCTAGGATAAATTGAAATTCTTATTTCCCAACTCTTTCCATCTAATACTATGTCTATGCTGCTTGAGGCTTCAGATTTCTATATTTTCTTTAAACATGAACTTGGAGTTACCCAGTGTCATTTCCTCTGAAGGAGATCTAGCTGAACTCTTTCCATCTAATACTATGTCTATGCTGCTTGAGGCTTCAGATTTCTATATTTTCTTTAAACGTGAACTTGGAGTGGAGTTACCCAGTGTTGTTTCTTCTGCAGGAAATCTAGCTGCTGTACACCAGAACTGCTCTGCCAACCAAACCACAACTTTAATTGATGATGATAGAGTTTGTTTCAAACCCACACAGTGACTCCAAACAAAAGTACTGATGTAGACACCACCCCATCAAATCAGTGCTGTGTTCTGCCTATGGGGTGGCAGACTGGGGTCTCATAGAAACCTCTCATGGTATCACATGTCTCTTTGACTGGAACTTAAATTGTTCATTGTGCTCAAAATGTTGTAGTGCAAGCTCAGCACTGTAGTGAAATAAGTCTTCCCATTCTTTCCCAATAATTTTACATAGAAGAAATAATTTTACTCATTATGATGCCAAACTCAGTAGCCATATATTCATAATTTAAAATGACAAAGGAAAACTAAACCAAGATTAGTCAAAATATTCATAACCCAGGTGAAAGAGACAGAACAAAGGCTGTAATAAGTTTCTGAAAAAAAAAATCACTCTTTAAGACAGATCACAAAGAGCAGATATGCTCATCATAACTTCTGAAGATAGTTCCTAGGGGTGACTGTCACACAAGTTGTGCTTTCCAAAACGGCCACTTTTCAAGTGACAATACATGGTAGGAACGTCAGGTTAAGAATAGAAAATATTTAACTTTCCAAAAAATACATCAAGATATCTACACCATCCATCTTTCACGTCCACCATCTTTTTCTAAAATCCTGAGACACAGATTCAATGACTCATTTGCTACCTCAGAGGAATTACTAGAACACCTTTAAGACATTACCGAATCCCAGATGAGTTGCTTGTTCAACTGAAACTCAAAATCCTCTTTTAGAAAGCTCACGTCTCCACCTGTATAGCCAGCCAACTCCTGCAAAAACACCAGTTAGAGAAATTAAAGACTTACTCTAACACGCTTACAGATCAATTCCAATAATTCTAGAAGGGGTTTAGCACTACCTGATTAATTTTCAGCAAAGCACCTCGTTTTGGCAAGATGGAAGAGTTCCTTGAATCAATCACCATAGCGTGCTGGAAAAAATCAGAACAAGCACTTTTAGGTTCAGGGATCTGCTGAATGCCAGAGTGACACTATTCTTTTTCCTTTGAAGACTGCACACACAAGTGGGAGAGTGCCACAGTTACAGCTAAGCCTAGTGTAGCCTCGTGGATGTGGAGACACTGTACCTACACAGTAACTTAGTTCTGACTTTAGAAGCCACCTCAAACACACAGAGAGATATTTACACCTTTTGGCCATGATACACACCAGAAATCCAGCAGCAACAATGCCCCAGTGTAAATCACAAACTATTTGCAGATTACTGTCCCAAAATTGATCTCTTACTACTTGTAAGCTACAAGTTACAAATGACAAGTGACCAAAAACTGGTATAGGGAATAATATTCAGAAAGGGCATAGCTACTCTTACTACTTGTAAGCTACAAGTTACAAGTGACCAAAAACTGGTATAGGAAATAATATTCAGAAAGGGCATAGCCACGGTAAGATGAGGAAATTTACTGATCCTGTCTTCTACAAAACAGGCCAATTCTGCAGAAAGAAATGGCAGATGACATGGAGGGAGGCCCTGCAGGAATAACAGGGCAGCCTAAGCAACAGTCAAAATGCAACACTCAACTATGAAAATGTGTTTTCCATTTGGACCTCCTGGATGACTCTGTGTGAATGACCAAACACAGCAAAAGGTGTTTTAAGTAAAACACTCTCCCTGCTTAGACAAAACTCCTTTGGGATCATTTCTAAGTCTTAGATGCCTCAAAATAATGCATTTTAAAAAATTATCAGGAAAAAGCCTTACAGAGAGAGATGATTTAAGAGAATGTCCACTTTCTTCTCTAACAGAAAAGGATGCTGTTCTAGCAAGGCAGGCAAGTTCTCTCCACACACCTTCCCATTTCAGTGTGTGACTGGTCTTCCAGACTGGAAACTATAAAGAAAGAATGGAGGAAGATATGAAAAAAAATTTGCTGCAAAACTGAAATAAACACTTCCCTGAAAAATCATTCACTCTAAAGTTTATTTGTACATGATTCTATGTTGCTTCTTTCCAGACTTCTTGGATCAGAGAGAAACCCTTTTTTATTTCAGAGTAACACTAATTTTTCTCCAGCCAGGAAAGTTTCTTCAAGTAGAGGTACTCTACTTAATCCACCCCAAATTAAAAATACCTTGAACTGGGCTGATACAGTGAGCTAGGCAACCAGTTACTTGCCTGAAATGAGAACTTGAACATGAAAAATTTGGAGAAAAACACATTGATATTCTTATATGGCCAAAAGAAGACTGAATTCTAACAAAAAAACTGACTATACTACCTCTGTCATTTTAAAACTGTTGACCTCTTTCAAATAGTGACAAGTTTAGCCCTGTGCCCAAGCATTTAAATAATGCAAAAAGGAACCAAATATTTGCAAAAGCCAGCTGTGACCTGTGAAATGTAAATGAGGCATGTGCTCCACAAATTCTGTGCCACACTTACATTAAATTCTGTTGATATTCCTCTATCAGTTTCACGAAGAGAGCTCCAAGGGAACTGTCCAGTTACTTTATACAGGTTAACTGAAAAACTGAAACACAGTATTACCTGGCAGGTTTAAAAGTGAGAATATTTAAGCAGGTGAAGTTTTATATTATCACAAAAACTTCAGAAATCAGCTCTGCTACGTTATTAACAGACCCCCAGCAAAGGAAGAGATTCAATTATTACTCAGTGGAAGATCTTATTGTTTTATATTTCTTCACAAAATAAATAAAAAGTATACTGAAAAATTCATCCCCTACTTTCTTTCAAAGTTTCCAGGCTGTGGTTTGAAGAAGGACAGGCCATATGAAGTTTCCTTTGTTCCATAGGAGAACTGGAAGGTCACCTTTTCTGCACGTCCAAAGAGATTTGGGAACTTGAGCCCAAGTACCTATGGAGAATTTAAAAAAGACTCACAACTTTTCATCTGATTTGCTGTCTTGGCTCTTAATCATATTCTGAAGACAAGCCTATCTACCCTGAGATTGAGAAATGAGGACACTGAGGAGAGCTGTAACTGTGTTTTAAGCCAGATTTCTCTTTGCACTGGCAGCAAAAGCCCTCACAATAGCACAAGTTACAGTTATCACCCAATTTTTATTGCTGTCCAGTAGCTGCTGACTTAATCTGCATTCTCACTGTATCCTCAGGACTAGAATTGTTTCAGTCAAAATCCCCCAGCCCATCCCAAAGCCCAGCAGAGTAAGTGTTTGGCCTGGCAGGCCAGTGTTTGGGAGGCATCTTGGTTTGAGTAACAAGATGCTTTTGCAATCAGTCCTGTCAGCAGTAAAACATACAATTACAATTCTCCAGAAGGTGCTTAAACACTTTGGCCTGTTCCCACACTAATTCCTTGCATCCCTTTGGAGGCTCTTTGACAGAAAGGCTGGAGCAGGTTTCCTCCAAGCACAGACTCTACCAGGACTGTCCTATTATCATGCATTCTACTTTAAAAGAATGTAAAAGAGTACCAAATCCTGATTGCCTTTGTCTGACAGCTATTGGAAGCAAATCAATCACCTGAGCCTTGTGATAAAGGCTACTATGCAATTATCCAACTAACCAGAAAGGGCTGTGAGTATGAAATATTACATTTACAGGCTTCAGATGAATTTAAGAGATTGGAATAAAAGTCACATCTAGTTAAACTTCTAAGGAAACATCATTTCTGCTGCCAGTAGCAGTGCATAAGAGTCATGCCTTCATAGAATTCAAATGTTTTACTTCTCTGTAACAAATTGAAATCAAACAGAGGGGGAAGATGAGTAACCCTTGCAAAGCACCACCACCTGAGTCATGCAGTATCTTATCCAGGTTAAAAATAACTCTAAGAAGAAAAGGATGAGCCCTTTGATCTGCTTATCTACTAGCAGCAGGCAGAGCTGCACTGTGCACATGAGGAGGCAGAATGAGTGCAGGAACAAGCACCTGAATGCACAGTCCACTCACAGCAGCAGTGCTGTTAGAAGGACATTAACAAAACAACAGTAGAGCTCTTGGTTACCTTCTGTGTCAACTGAGGAATATTTTTCACACAAGATTTTAATCTGACATCCTTAACTGAATCAAATACAAACAAGCTCCACAGTTTATATGGTTCTGGAAAACCATATTCTTGCATTTTGCAGCCCACAATGCCAGTACTGGGCTAAATAGTGGAAACCAATTTCTAAATCCAATATACAGCCCTTTGACTGAAAAGAAAAACACTTTAAACACATCTCATGAAAACTAAATACTAAATTCCTTACTAATCTCCCCAGCAGATAAAGTGTCCTAAATATTACCAAGAAAGAATGTAAGTCATTTTAAGTCTTTAAAAATTAACATACTGAGTTGGAAGCTACAGGATTCTTCCCCAGCTTAAAATAGGCTTTTGCTGAATGAAAGCCTAATACAAAGACTCTTTAGAGACAAAGGTCTGGCAAAGCCTTAGGAAAGCTGGATCAAGAAAATAATTTGGCTTGGACCACGAAATTCCCTGCTAGGTCTGCAACATGGAAGTAAGAGGAGTATCAAAAGGAATTAATAATTATTTGAAATAATCCATACCATACTGCCTTCATTGTTGCCAACCATAGTGTTATAGCTTCCTGTTAGTCTTCTCAATTCTGTCACCTCAAAGGTTACATCTAAACCATTTGGAAGGGCATCATCTCCTGCATAAACAAAAAAAACAAATGTATGTAAACTCTAAGGACATATAAAAAATGCAAACAGAAGATGACTTGAAAACTAGTTGGATTAAGTGATAATAAAAGGGCATATTACAAAGAAATATGGCTTGAGAAAAAGCTGAGTGCAGAATTTGGTTCAATCATAGCATGACTGGCTTTCATCAACACATTAGTTTAATTATGGAATTGTAACCTTTGTGTGTTACCTACTCATTAAAAAAAAAGAGGCACACAGATTCTTATATTAGAATAAACAGAATTTAAAGTGATCCAGACATGGCAAGAACAACACCATCACTAGGGCAGAGCTCCCAGCACTGCAGGTAACCCTCAGGGCTCTGGCAGCAGTTCCAAAACAAAGCTGTGATGGCTGCTTCTGCTCAAAGCAGAGGGGGCAGCACCCCCCTGCCACAGCAGCCTGGGGGGCTGCACCCTGCTCCCTTCTCAGGGACACAACTTTGTCTGCTGAAGAGAACAGTAGTGACTCTGACAAGCCTGGGAATGCAGCTCAGCCTCCCTGGGAAACCTCCACACGTTCAGCTGCCCCATCTATGCCACAAGCAAATTTTTAATCACAAGCACTGATACAGTTCCCAGCATTTCCAGGGAAATTCCAGCAGGAAGGATGTGCTGATACAATGTCAGTTATGTGACCTGCAGTACATGAAGTGCAGGACACGCTTTCAAGCTTGTCCTCAAGTGTCCCTCTGAAATTTTGTATTAAAGGACCTGTACTGTAATTACTTTAGTGCTGGAAATTCACTCATTTTTGCATGTATACAAGTAATGTTTATATACACATATACATTTATACATGCAAATACATCTTCCTAGGGATAATGGATGTACACACATTTGTATATATAGCACACCTCCACGTGTGTCTAAAATACAGAAAGATACATCACAGAGTAAGTTCTATACACAAAAAACATCTAACCTGTTACACAGGGAAATATACATCATATGTATGGATGTGTCTGTAAGTGTATGAGAAAAAAAGTGAAGATTAATGAGGCAATACCTACCTTGACAGGTATCAATCAGAACCTCTACTTGCCTAAAGATTCCCAGCCGAAGCAACTTCTCACGAGCTTCGTGGGATTTCCTCATCACCTACAGGATGAGATAAGGAGCTCAGCCACAGAATCACAGAACAGTTTAAACTGAAAAGAACCTCCAAAGATCATCTAATCCATTTGAGTCTTTCAGGTTACCAAAAAATAACTAGGATGAAACAGTTCAAATGCAACCCAGTCATACGATATTCACAGATTTTGTACACAGACGCATCCAGGCACCTTCAGAACAAATCACACCCACTTTAACACTTCAATCTGTAAAGAAATAAATGAAACCCAGAGTATCTAGTTCAATTCCTACCTTTTGTTAGTTTGCTTCCTGCTTGTTGCAATACTTGAACCTACGACTCAAATAGGTTTCAGTAGTTAAAACCTACACAGCTACTTAGGGGGACCCATGCTTTTGGGAAACCCCCCAAACACATCTGTTTAAGTGCAGACCAATTCACAGGTCTAACTTCCAGCCACACTCCAGAACCCTGCAGAACCTCCTTGCACCTAAAAGTGCAAGGACATACAGCCTAAGGCACACTTGACCCACTGTGGAGACTGACATCAGTCATCTGTGGTAAGATCCAACAATTATCTTCAACAAACGAGCTGAAAGTGTCCCCTACACAGTCAGCAATTCTCAAATGGGAAGAGTGTAGCTGAAAAAAAATATATCTGAGGGTACTGTCTGGCATCTCACAATGCCTTTGAGCTGAATATGTCAGAAAACAACAGCATTATTTCATATTTAAGTGTGACTTCCATACCACAAGATCAGAATGATCACAAAGCTTGTCCACGTTGCCTCATGTCTAAAGGGAGTAGCCCAAAGGAAAAAAAAAGATAAAATTGTTCCCTGAATTTTTAAATAGTAGGTCTGATATTCACTGCAGTACTTACATCAATGAGATTTTTTGCCTTGAAAACATCAGAGATTTCATACATGATAATATCATCTTTGGTCCTTCCAAGTCCATCGAAGTGCACATGTTGAACCACCACCTAAACAGAACAGATGTTTAAACACAAATACTGAATTTGCATCTATTAAATGAGTATCAGAAACACCAATGCAGAAAAAAAACATTGTTGTCTGAGTGAAAACCCCTGAAGATTCCAGGCTTATTACCATTGATCTGCATTATCAGAAATCAGTGCTATCTACAGCTCTGGGAAGTTATCCCCTTAACAGAAAAATTAAAGAACAAATAAAACCAATGCTAACACTCGTTGAATCAGAAGAGATGGCAACAGACTGTAGCTGCTGGGATTTCAGTTGTAGGTGTTGTAGGGCCAAATAGGTCACTGTAGAAATGGCACTGAAATACTCAGACATGTGCCACCAAACAGGTAGTTCGTGGCCGTGGCTCTTTCTCCCATCAGCTACACATGAGGGAAGAGTCAAAAGAAAAATCTACAAGTCATAACTATTTTTCCAACCTTTCCAGGCTATTATAATCTTAGGAGTGTCCAAAAAACCCACATCTGCAACTGCTTCATGTATTTGCATATAATAATTAGCAGAAGAAGAGCAACCTAGCATTACCACAAATCACTTAAAAAAAAATCCTGTCAGACAATATATGAACTAATAAATAATAACTTAAATAAAAATCAAATGTTATTACCAAGCTTCTAGCAAGGATGACTCTGAATAGCATGAGGGAAAGGAAAATTCTAATAAAACTTAAGATAATGTCTATCTCACCCCTCTAGCATGGCTAAACATATTACAGGCCAAGACAGACATGCTCTGACAAGTGAAATATTAAAAAAAAAAGTTAGCATCCTCTGCTGAAGTTGGTATCTCCCTCAGTAATTCATGTGGTGGCACTTAACCCTAAACATGCTAATTCTGCACTCTAGCAGATTAAAGACAGGTGCCTGGTTTGCTCCTCAGCAGAGCTGCAGAAGCAGGAAACAGAGAGAAGGGAAAACAGCATCTGGAAATAAGGTCTCTTAGCTCAAAGCTGAATTTTAACAACAACTCCTGTGGTAGGGAAGAAAGAACAGGAACCAGGCAACATCAGATGAAATTCACAGTGTTAAATTTAATTCTTTCACATCTCCAATCATAGTGTAGAAAGCAGGAATGAGAGAGAAGGGAAAACAGCATCTGGAAATAAGGTCTCTTAGCTCAAAGTTGAATTTTAACAACTCCTGTGGTAGGGAAGAAAGAACAGGAACTAGGCAAATTCACAGTGCTAAATTTAATTCTTTCACATCTCCAATCATAGTGTAGAAAGTTTCCTTAAGGAATACACACAAGCAAGAGTGCCAAGACCCTTAAGAAAAAATAAAATCAGGATGTTGTTCAGGTACTTACATCTTTGTTCTCCAGAATTTCCTGCTTGGCCTCAGGTTCAGCTTCAAACAGTTCAGCTTCCTCTCCCAAGGCACCAAAGTCTGGGCCACCCGCTGGGAGAGGCTCTAAACTCTGACAGAGTAAAAGAAAACTGCATTTAATATGCTACCTGGGTTTGTGATTTATGCCTTTTGCAAAGGAAAAAAACTATACTTGCTGACACCATGCTCATCAGATTTTGAGGGCAAAGAGAAGAATGAAATTACCCCTTGTTTGTCACCTACCTGCTTGCTGAGATTTTTAATGAAAGCTGACAAGCTTCCCTGTTGAATAACTTCTCAAAAATACTCTGCAGTCTTCCAAAACCAGCTTTATTTTTAAGGCATGCTTCATGTTACAGATGAATTTGATCTTAAAAAAAAAAATCTCTGAAATAACAGGGTGTCACTTCTTAGTTTGTGTTTTTTTGGGAGGGAGAGGAGTGTGAATGTTGAATAATTTTTTTTTTTAAAAAAAAAGGGTGTTTGCAGCATGTTACTTCACTTTGCATATATTTGTATGCTTTTCTATTTTAATATTTATTTTAAAAGTAGCCTTCAAGAACCTCAGGCACTATCTGCCACAGCTGAACATTTTAATCAAACTGGCTCCCAGCACAGCACCTGAAAGAGCCCTAAAATAAGATTTATCACAAGAGAACAGATTCAAGCCTGAGTGAAGAGAGGGTTACCTGCAAAAGCAGAGGTCACGATTGGATAACTCAGTAAATCTACTTTTCCTCTTAAGGTACTAACACAGCATTTGCTGCATTATTTAAGGGTGGCTGTTGTGCTGGAGTAGTAAATTGCTGTTACAGATCAGAACCAAGTGAAGTAGAGACAGAATCCTCTCTCATGCCCCATAATTTTCAGGCAAATATGAACCACTCTGCATCCACATAATATTGTATATCAGTTTATACTACAGATGGATACAAAACTAAGAATACAAGAAATACAAGAAAAAAAGAAACAAATTAAATTATTTACAACAATTACATACTTTGGAGCTTTAACAGCCTGTAGCTGTTCCCCAGCATAATGAAACACTGTGTAAAAGCCTGCTGGTTTTCAGCAGGCTCACAGTGGAGAGAGATTCTACCTGGGGGGTCTTTTAGAATCATCCAGACGGTTCTTAGCCCCCAGGTAAGTCAGTCACTCATTAATCATACTTGAATTATCTACATCACAGCTTCAAACATCTCTATGCAGGCTCTCCACGGCTGCTTTAAGGAGAAAGCCGTTTTAGCCAAATTCACAAGGTATTTCACCAAACTGATTTAACATATGCTCTGTGATTCCTCAGCTTTACAGTCAACAGCACCACCGGCCTCTTCTCCACGACACTGATGCTCTCACAGCCTGTCCTGTGCAGCTCTCCAGCTTTTCCACAACGCAGACAGCCCAAGAGGGGACCGATTATCTAGAATAACCCAGGATATGCTTCCCTAACCTCTCCTTAAGGCACGGGGACTTCATCAGCTACCTACCTTTATCCTTTACAATTATTTTCTGATGGTTACGACACACACTTTTTCCTGCTGGCATTATTAACGCTATTTCTTGTCCTACCACGACAAACGCCTAAACCTTTACCTTCCCTCTTCAAGGCCTGGGGTATGGATTTGGAGATGCACACGGGACGCCGCCGACCTCTCTAACCCGAGCTGCTGTTTCGGGTGGCAGCGCAAACCTACAG